TCATTGTTAGCACCGTTCGGGGTACGTGCTCTTCACTTTGCTCCCCAGCCTTCACTTTGCTCCCCAGCCTTCACTGTGCTTCCCAGCTTTCACTGTGCTCCCCAGCCTTTACTGTGCTCCCCAGCCTTTACTTTGCTCCCCAGCCTTCACTTTGCTCTCTGCCTTTACTGTGCTCCCCAGACTTCACTGTGCTCCCCAGCCTACACTGTGCTCCCCAGCCTTCACTTTGCTCCCCAGCCTTCACTTTCCTTCGCCTTTGTGCTCCCCCAGCCTTCACTGTGTTCACCAGCCTTCACTTTGCTCCCCAGCCTTTTCTGTGCTCCCCAGCCTTCACTTTGCTCCCCCTTCACTTTGCTCCCCAGTCTTCACTGTGCTTCTCAGCCTTCACTGTTGTTCTCCCCCAGCCTTCACTGTCCCCCAGCCTTCCTTTGCTTGCTCAGCTTCACTGTGTCCCCAGCCTTCACTTTGCTCCCCAGTCTTCTTCGCTTCGCTTCCCCAGCATTCACTTTGGTCCCCAGCCTTCACGTGCCTTTACTGTGCTTCCCAGCCTTTACTGTGCTTCCCAGCCTTCACTTTGCTTCCCAGCCTTCACTTTGCTTCCCCTTCACTTTGCTCCCCAGCCTTCACTTTGCCCCAGCCTTCACTTTGCTCCCCAGCCTTCACTTTGCTCCCCAGCCTTCACTTTGCTTCCCAGCCTTCACTGTGCTTCCCAGCCTTCACTGTGCTCCCCAGCCTTCTCTGTGCAACCCAGCCTTCACTGTGCTTTTCAGCCTTCACTGTGCTCCCCAGCCTTCACTTTGCTCCCCAGCCATTACTGTGCTCCCCAGCCATTTCTTTGCTCCCCAGCCTTCACTTTGTTCCCCCCAGCCTTCACTGTGCTCCCTAGCCTTCCTGTGCTCCCCAGCCTTCCTGTTCCCAGCATGTCCTCCTCAGCCTTCCTGTGCTCCCCAGCCTTTACTGTGCTCCCAGCATTTCTTTGCTCCCCGCCTTCATGCTCTCTAGCCTTTACTGTGCTCCCAGCCCTTACCATTTCTCCCCCTTTGTATCCCTACTGCGCTCCCAGTCTTCTATGAGCTTCTCAGCCTTTACTGTCCCCTTCACTGCTCTGTGTTGTCCAGCCTTCCTTTATCCCCAGCCTTCACTGTGTCCCCAGCCTTCACTGTGCTCCCCAGCCTTCCTCTCTTCTCAGCCTTCATTGCCCCAGCCTTCACTGTGCTCCCCAGCCTTCACTCTGCTTCTCAGCCTTTGTCCCCAGCCTTCCTGTGCTCCCCAGCCTTCCTGTGCTCCCCAGCCTTCACTGTGTCCCCAGTGTGCACCCCAGCCTTCACTGTCACAGCCTTCACTGTCCCCAGCCCCTTCACTGCGCTCCCACCATTCTGTGTCCCACACCTACCAGTGTGTCCCCCAGCCTATCTGTGCTCCCCCAGCCTTCACTGTGCTCCCCAGCCCCTGTGCTTCTCTCAGCCTTCTGGGCTTCCCAGGCTTCTTTACTCCCCAGCCCAGCTGCTGTTGGCCCCGTATTCGCAGTGTCTGATATTTCTGTGATCCGATAGATCACTGTGTCTGATATTCTGTTATCTCTATTTATTTGCTGTTATCCCCATTATTCACTTATTGTCTGATATTCACGTACTCATAGTAATCCTGTGTCTATTATTCACTTGTCCTAGTATTTGCTGTTATCTATTATTTACTGTGTCTACTGTACTGTTTTATCTGATATTCAGCTTATCTATTTGCTGTTAGCTGTATTCACTGTGTCCCAGCCTTCACTGTGTCTATTCTCTGCTCGCCAGTCTTCACTGTTCTCTGTGTTCACTGTATCACAGTTTCACTCAATGTCTGCCCCTTTACTGTGTCCCCAGGCTTTCTTTGTCCCCATTATTCACTGTGTCTCTGGTGACTACTGTTATCACCAGTATTCACTGTGATTCCAGCATTCACTGTGCTCCCCAGCCTACACTGTTATACGGCCTTTCTTGTGACTGCTGTGTCCACGGTTTCACTGTGTCTCACCTTTACTGGTGCTCTGGCCTTTCTTTTCTGGCCTTCACTGTGTCTCTGGTATTTGCTGTATCCTTATTTATTCATATGCTCTATTCACTGTTGTCCTCAGTATTCACTGTGTCTCTAGCTGTGTCACCAGCCTTCACTGTGCTCCCCAGCCTACCTGTGTCCCCAGCCTTCACGTGCTCTCTGGCCTTTACTGTGCTCCCCTTCACTGCGCTCCCCAGCCTACACTGTCCCCAGCCTACACTGTGCTCCCCAGCCTTTGCTGTGCTCCCCAGCTACTGTGTCTGGCATTTTCTTTGCTCTGTGCTTTGCTCCCCCATTATTAGCTTCCCAGCCTTCACTGTGTCCCCAGCCTTCACTGTGTCCCCCAGCCTTCACTTTGCTCATCCTTCACTGTGTCCCCCAGCCTTCACTGTGTCACAGATCTTCACTGTGCTCCAGCCTTTACTGTGATCCCCAGGCTTTTCTTTGCTCCCAGCCTTCCTGTGCTCTCTAGCCTTTACTGTGCTCACAGCCTTCACTGTGTCCCCAGCCTTCTGTGCTCCCCAGCCTACACTGTGCTCCCCAGCCTTCACTGTGTCTCTTGCCTTTGTGCTCCACAGTTTTCACTGTGCTCCCCAGCCTTTACTGTGCTCCAGCCTTTCTTTTATCCCCCTTCCTCTGCTCTCTAGCCTTTTTGTGCTCTGCCTTCACTGTGCTCCCCCAGCCTTCACTGTGCTCCCCAGCCTTCACTGTGCTCTCTGGCCTTTGCTGTGTCCACCAGCCTTCACTGTGCTCCCCAGCCTACACTGTGCTCCCCAGCCTTCACTGTGCTCTCTAGCCTTTACTGTGCTCCCAGCCTTCACTGCGCTCCCCAGCCTTCACTGTGTCCCCCAGCCTACACTGTGTCCCCAGCCTTCACTGTGTTTGTGTCCTTTATCCCCCCAGCCCATGCTGTGTCTCGCCTTCACTGTGTTCCCAGCCTTCACTTTGTCCCCAGCCTTCACTGTGCTCCCCAGCCTTCACTGTGCTCCCCAGCCTTCTGTGTCCCCCATCCTTCCTTTGCTCCCCAGCCTTTACTGTGCTCCCCAGCTTTCTTTGCTCCTCCTTGCTCCCCAGCCTTCACTTTGCTCCCCAGCCTTTCACTTTGCTCCCCAGTCTTCCTTTGTCCCCAGCCTTCACTTTGCTCTCCAGCCTTCTTTGCTCCCCCAGCCTTCACTGTGCTTCTCAGCTTCACTTTGCTCCCCAGCCTTTGCTTTGCTCCCCAGCCTTCACTTTGCTCCCCAGCCTTCACTTTGCTCCCCAGCCTTTCACTTTGCTCCCCAGTCTTCCTTTTATCCCCAGCCTTCATTGTGCAACCCCACTGTCTCCCCAGCCTTCCTTTGCTCCCCAGCCTTCCTTCGCTCCCCAGTCTTCTTTAGCTATCTGGCCTTCACTTGTTCCCCAGCCATCATGTCCCCAGCCTTCATCCTTCCCCCAATCTTCACTTGCTCCCCAGCCTTCCTTTGCTCCCCATCCTTCACTTTCTTCCCCAGCCTTCACTTTGTCCCAGCCTTCACTGTGCTTCCCAGCCTTCACTGTGTTCCCCTTCCTTGGCTCCCCAACCTTTACTGTGCTCCCAGCTTCACTTTGCTCCCCAGACTTCACTTTGCTCCCCAGCCTTCCTTTGTCCCAAGTCTTCACTTTGATCCCTAGCCCTCACTTTGCTCCCCAGCCTTCTCTTTGCTCCCCCTTCACTGTGCTTCTCAGCCTTTACTGTGCTCCCAGGCTTCACTTTGTTCCCCAGCTTCACTTTGCTCCCCATTTCACTTTGCTCCCCAGTCTTCACTTTGCTCCCTAGTCCTTTGCTCCCCAGCCTTCACTTTGCTCCCCAGCCTTCACTTTGTCCCCCAGCCTTCACTTTGCTCCCCAGCCTTCACTGTGCTTCCCCAGCCTTCCTTGGCTCCCCAGCCTTCACTTTGCTCCCCAGCCTTCACTTTGCTCCCCAGCCTTCATGCTCCCCAGTCTTCGCGTCCCCAGCCTTCACTTTGCTCCCCCTTCACTTTGCTCTCAGCCTTCCTGTGCTTCCCCAGCCTTCACTGTGTAACCCCTTCACTGTCTTCCCAGCCTTCACTGTGCAGCCCAGCCTTCACTGGGTTCCTCAGCCTTCCTTTGCTCCCCAGCCTTCACTGTGCTCCCCGTTACTGTGCTCCTCAGCCTTCACTTTGCTCCCCCAGCCTTCACTGCTCCGCCTTCATTTTGCTCCCCAGCCTTCAATTTGTTCCCCAGCCTTTGTGTGCTCCCCAGCCTTCTCTGTGCTCCCCAGCTGCTGTGTTCCTGACCTTCAATGTCTCCCCAGCCTTCACTGTGCCTTAGCCCCTTCACTGCTCCCCAGCCTTCACTGTGCAACCCAGCCTTCACTGTGTCCACAGCCTTCACTGTCTCCCCAGCCTCACTTTGCTCCTGACCTTCACTTTATGTCTGACCTTCACTTCCTCCCAATCTTCACTGTGCTCCCCAGCCATCACTGTGTCCCCAGCTTTCTCTGCGCTCCTGGCCTTTAACGTGCTCCCCAGCTTCACTTGCTCTCTCATTTACTGTGTTCCGAGCCTTCTGTCCCCAGCCTACACTGTGTCCCAGTCTTCACTTTGCTCCCCAGCCTTTGTGTGCTCCCATCCCTCACTGTCTCCCAGCCTTTACTGTGTCACCAGCCTTTACTATGCTCGCCAGCTTTCACTGTGCTCCCCAGACTTCACTGTGTCCCCAGCCTTTACTGTGCTCCCCCTTCACTGTTTGCCCCAGCCTTCACTGTTCTTCCCAGCCCTCACTATGCTCTCCACCTTCAGTGTTCTTCCAGCCTAGTCTTCTCCCCAGCCTTCACCGTGCTCCCCAGCCTTCCTGTGTCCCCAGCCTCTCTGTGCACCCCTCTTTCTGTGTCCCCAGCCTCCACTGTTCTTCCACCTTCAATGTGTCCCCAGCCTACACTATGCTCCCAGTTCACTGTCGCTACACTATGTCCCCAACATTCCTGCCTCAGCCTTCCTGTGCTCCCCAGCCTTTACTGTGCTCCCTCTTTACTGTGTTTAACGTTCTGTGTCCCCAGCCTTCACTGTTCTTCCCCAGCCTTCACTGTGCTCACAGACTTCACTGTGCTCCCCAGCCTTTACTATGCTCGCCAGCTTTCACTGTGCTCCCCAGCCTTCAGTTGCTCCCCAGCCTTCCTGCTCCCCAGCCTTTACTGTTCTCCCCAGCCTTCACTGTTCTTCCCAGCCCTCACTGTGCTCTCCACCCTTCAGTGTTCTTCCTTCAGTCTTCTCCCCAGCCTTCACCGTGCTCCCCAGCCTTCCTGTGCTCCCCAGCCTCTACTGTGCACCCCACTCTTTACTGTGCTCCCCAGCCTCCACTGTTCTTCACAGTACTGTTATCCCAGCCTGCTCCCCCAACGTTCACTGTGCTCCCAGCCTTCACTGTGCTCCCCAGCCTTTACTGTGCTCCCCATTCTTTACTGTGCTCCCCAACGTTCACTGTGCTCCCCAGCCTTCACTGTTCTTCCCAGCCTTCACTGTGCTCCACAGACTTCACTGTGCTCCCAGCCTTCACTGTCCCCAGCCTTTACTGTGTCTCCCCCACTCTTTACTGTGCTCCCCAGCGTTCACTGTGTCCCCAGCCTTCCTGTTCTTCCCAGCCTTCACTGTGCTCCAGCCTTCACTGTCTCCCCAGCCTTCACTGTGCTCCACAGCCTTTATTATGCTCCACAGCCTTCACTGTGCACCACAGCCTCACTGTGCTCCCCAGCCTTCACTGTGTCCGCACTTGTCCCAGCTATTGTGCTCCGACCTTCACTGTGCGACCTTCTGTGCTCCACAGCCTTCACTGTGCTCCTGGCCTTTTCTGTGCCACTGATTCACTGTGTCTGTGTTTTTTTCCTGTGCTCCCTTTTGTACCCAGTATTCACTGTCACATTCTGTATCAGGTTTTTGCTCATTTTCCCCAGGTACTCCCTTCACTGTTCGGTATTCTTGTCCCAGTTTTACTGTGTCCTTTCACTGTTCTCTGATTCTGTTGTCCCCGCTTCCTGTGTCTGTTTTGTCTATCTGTGTTCTTTCATGGCTCCCTGCCTTTATCTGTGTTCTGCCTTCTGGTGCTCCCCCATCATTCACTGTGCTCCAGCCTTCACCTTCCCTTTATGTCCCCATTTTCACTGTGTCCCCTTCATTTGTCCCCCCAGCCTTCACTGTGCTCCCCAGCCCTCACTGTCCTCCCCAGCCTTCACTGTGCTCCCCAGCTTACGTGTCCCCCACCTCCTGTGCTCCCCAGCCTTCACTGTGTCCCCAGCTTCACTGTGCTCCCCCAGCCTTCACTGTGCTCCCACAGCCACTGTGCTCTGGCTCATTCTGTGCTCCCCAGCCTTCACTGTGTCCACAGCCTTCACTGTGCTCCGCTTCTGTGCTCCCCAGCCTTTTCTTTGCTCCCCAGCTTCCTGTGCTCCAGCCTTTACTGTGCTCCGCTTGCCCAGCCTTCACTGTGCTCCCAGCCTTCTGTGCTCTCTTGCTTTACTGTGTCACAGTCTTCACTGCTCCCCGGTCTTTACTGTGCTCCCCAGCCTTTTCTGTGCTCCCAGCCTTCACTGTGCTCTAGCCTTTACTGTGCTCCACAGCCTTCACTGTGCTCCCAGCCTTCACTGTGCTCCCCAGCCTTCACTGTGCTCTCCCCAGCCTTCACTGTGCTCTGCTTCATGTGCTCCCCAGCTTCTGTGTCCCCAGCCTTCCTGTGCTCTCTAGCCTTTACTGTGTCCCCCAGCCCACTGCCTCCCCAGCCTACTGTGCTCCCAGCCACTGTGCTCCCCAGCCCACTACTGTGTCCCCTTTACTGTGCTCCCCAGCCTTCTCTTTGTCTGGCCTTCACTTTGCTCCCCAGCTTTACTGTGCTCCCCAGCCTTCACTGTGCTCCCCAGCTTCTGTGTCCCCAGCCCTTCACTTTGCTCATGTTCACTGTGCTCCCCAGCTTCACTGTGTCCCCAGCCTTCACTTTCTGCTCCCAGCCTTTACTGTGCTCCCCAGCTTTCTTGTGCCTTCACTGTGCTCTCAGCCTTTGTGCTCAAGCCTTCACTGTGCTCCCCAGCCTTCACTGTGCTCCCCAGCCACTGTGCTCCCCAGCCTTCTGTGCTCCCGCCTTCACTGTGCTCCCAGCTTTCACTGCTCCCCAGCCTTTACTGTGCTCCCCAGCCTTTCTTTGCTCCCCAGCCTTCACTGTGCTCTAGCCTTTACTGTGCTCCCAGCCTTCACTGTGCTCCCCAGCCTTCACTGTGCTCCCCAGCATTCTCTGTCCCCCCAGCCTTCAATTTGTTTACATGCTTTCACTGTCCTTCTATAACTTCATTTTGCTTCAATAACTTCTCTTTGTTTTCAACTTTCCTACCTTCACCATTT